TGCGGTCATTTTTACGAGGGTAAAATTCGCATCACAAGGCACGATACCCCGCGATGAGGATCCGTAGAAATTCCGAACGCGATCTGACGGACACGCAAGGCCCCGAAAATAAGTAGACGGTTTCCTCCCCCGAGGCCCTCTTTCGTCTCGTCTCGCGATGGAATCGAGCTGGATCCAGCCGGATCCAGTCGGATCGAGACCTCGGCTCCTGATCCCAGCGGTGCGGGAAATTACGTTCCGGCAGTGTTCGATCGACCTCGAGTCTTTAAACTTGGGAGAATCTGGATTTTCGGGGAACGTGGGCGACAGCAAGAGACGTAAAAAAAATAAAAATAAAAAAAAGGAAAAAAGGACCGATTTCTAATTTGAACGTGTAGATTAGACGGGCGAAACGAGGAGTTGGATTCAGGAGACTCGTCGGAGTGTGAAAGGGCGGATAAACCTCTTTTTATCCAGGGATTTATCGCGGGGTCGCCTCGGAAACGAACCGCAACCGCAATCGCCGTTTATTTTTTTCCTTCCCACGGGGTCCGGCGGACACCACGGCCGCTGAGCCGAGTGACCACGGCCATTGAGCCGAGTGACCACGGCCGCTGAGATAAGTGGGCACGGCCGACGAGCGAAAAAAATGAATGAGATTAAATGAATGGAATCGCTCCGTTTTGCCTCGCGGGGGATTTTCCGCTCCTCGTTTTCTCTTTCTGCTCTTCCGGTTTTCATTTTCTCCATTTGCCCCCCGGTTTAAACCATTTTCATCGTCGAAATTTTCACCGATGATGAGGAGCGAAATGAAAACTACCGAGAATGTAAAATAAAATTCACGTGAGGAAAAAAAAAATGTTGCACGCGTGCGAAGATGGCGAGACGAAACGGAAAGAAAATAATAATAAAAACTGAGACGTGACGCGGTGATATGTGCAATGGAGAGTATAACAATGTGCATTAGTCGTTATCGTGACCCTATCTAGATCCTCGATGCGAGGTCGAATTCTCGTTTCTGCTCGCATCATCGTGGCCTTTCTTCAAGGTCCGTCCCGTTCCCTATTTGGGAGGCTGCACACGCGTTATCTCTTTTTCTCTTTCCCTCCTCCTTCTCCCCCCCCCCCTCCATGATATATCAACTCCCTCCCTTTCCCCCCCCCCCCCCCCCCCCCCCCCCCCCCAAGGGGCACGAAAAGCAAGAAAGGCACGAAAGGCCGAGGGAATCGGGGCCAAGGAGGAAATTTCCGTTCCCTCCGAACGTTGAGAAATTTTTTTTTTGGCGTGTCGATTTGTGTCGATTCGTCCGTTCCGATTTCGAGGAATCGCCATTCGAAACGGACGACGCCCGCCTCGTACGATGGGCGATCGAGATGCACAGAAAAATTGTAGGAAAGAGGTTGGATTTTCAATTTTAAAGGAGATGAAACCGAACGTGCCGAGCCCAAACGGTCGTAAAAAAGAAATATATAAATAAAATAAAATAAAACGGGCAGGACCACGAAGACGAGATGCCACATTGGCGCATTTGAGGCCGGTTCGAATCTCTGAAATCCCGAAATGTAGACAACACGAACCCTGTTCGCATGACGCCGATTCCAAAAGGATTTTCGTGTGGCGAGAAGAGAGAGTGGAATGTCTTCCTTCTCCCCCCCTCCCCCATCTCGAGGGAGCATCCCAGGAACATTTTTTTACATTTTTGATGATGGCACCGAACGGCTCCGTAGGCCTCGACATTAAATGATCTTGAATACACTCGAGATTCCCCCCCCCCCCCCCCCCCCCCCCCCCCCCCCCCC